CGTCCTATCCTGTACATGAGAAACTCGCCCTATCACGCGATTGCAAAATGGGTGATTGAAAAGTTCAGAGCTGTCTGTACCCCAGAAGCTTAAAGGACCTCTGACTTCGTCGAGGCAAGCAAGGACACTAACATTGGCAAAATGAATATGTTGTCATTAGATGTATCTCCATTGTTTACCAAAGTACCAGTAACAGAAACTATAGAGTACCTATGCGACTTTACACGGGAAACAAACCAACATATAGGGATGGCAGTGGAGACGCTAAATAAACTACTGAATCGATGTACACAAAGTACTCAGTTTCTTTGCAATGGCCAGTTGTACAGGCAAAAATACGGAGTGGCGATTGGCTCACAACTTGGACCATTCCTCGTAAATGGCTTCATGGGCACTGTCGAGTAAACGAAGTTCAAAGACACTATCTATGGCTTTGATTTCTATGGTCAGTGCGTGGACAGTATATTTTTTCAGACAAATAATAACACCAATACCGTTGCTCTAGTTCGAAAGTTTAACAAAGCCAACACATCATTAACATTGACTGTGGAAACTGAGGCGAACAACTACATCGCTATCCTATATGCCTTCTTATACAAAAAAGAGAATGGTTCGGTACAGCGCAGGATAGTCAGAAAGAAAACCGGGACGGGACAATACGTTAGTTTTCAGTTTTGGTAACCTCTTCATCTCAAAAGAAACTTAGTCCAAGGACTGGCAGCCAGAGTACGACGCATTTGCTCTCCTGAACTAGTTAAAGCAAAACTGCCGCAACTACAGAGGACATTCCGCGAAAATGGCTACCCATAGAGGTTCATACTCCGGAACGTCAAGGAGCGTGTTACAAAGTCTGCCTTTGCAACGGCCTTAAAGGAAGACCTTTTCGTAAGACTGTCTCTTCTCAGAGTTGCAGCAGGTGAACTAGTAAGGCAACATCTAAGGATAGCCGTCAGAGCTAAAACTTCACTCTGTAAATGTTAAGGCAAACAGTCTTCTGAAATAATCTTTCGAAAGTACTATTAGCGAAACGCGTTTCGCTCCCTGTCAAAGACATTCTTCGTCTGATGACCAGATGACTTCCGATGTTCAGCTAGCTCAGTCATATACTCCACTTAGTTTCAAGAAGGCAACAAGCTGATGAATTTATGAGCGGGCTTCGGAAACTGAGCCGCAATTTTTCTGCTCTCCATTTGCATGTAAATTTTATTATATGGAGATCGGTTGGCCTATTGCGTCCACTATAAACCAATTTTTACCCCCCTTCGTTTATTAAAACTACAACAACAAGGTCATGAGCACACGGAGCTAGCTCCCTTTTGAACGAAGTCCGGTATGGCCTAAATTTACAACTCTTTCAAGTACGATCCGTTATGATCTTGGCAATTGTAGTGTTCGGCCATTATGCATTGTTTGTGATCTTCCGGTGTTATGCGCCTTCCGTGGCTAGTTTTCTTTACGCTGAATGGTGGACCTTTTTGCTGGAAATTTTGGAATGATATTTTAAAAATAAAGCGTATCTTTCCTTGATCATGCACCGGGGTGCAAATGGCGACACACAACATTGCTTCAGGTATAAACGAGGTGTCAGATGACCAACACAAGGTAAGGAGAACACATCAGCCCTTTTTTTACGTCACGTACATACGTATTTGCACCGATTGCAGCTCCAAATTGAAACAACTATTCAATCAGAATCATTGAACGTTATCTTAACTCCATATTGGATACATGTTTGCCGTTCGGCGCACCTTAGCACTGATAAAGTATGCCTCAACCATGTCAATGGCTACTGCTGCAACGACTCAAGGATCTGAACAGGCAACCTCATTTATTTTGACTTTCTCTGTCATCTGCTAATGGTAGGTTTGAATCTCCTGTGAAGACCAGTTTTTATATGTCATATAACCTCCTGTGTGCTAATAGAACTGTTATTGTATAGGCTCTCGTGCGTTAGGTTCCGTTGCATAGACTTTTTACAACTCCATCGATCTCATTTATGGCAAACGCGCATGCACACTACTTTTCGACGTACTCCAAAATTAGGCATAAATTGCCACGCCCTGTTTAAACCAAAACCTATTAACGCAGTCTTGATTGTGGACATGAGCGTTCAAATAGAGGCTGTTAATCTATTCTTTTTCGTCTCAAGACTGCAGACCGACTCTTTTGGTGGAGATGGTTTAACCTTACTTATACAACACATAAAACTTTCAGTTCACGGCCTTTCTACCTTTTAAACATTCTGGGGCATGTTTGTGGTTTTCTCCTGTTTGATCCCACAATGTATGACTTTTGTTTCTGTTTCATGCCTATAATTTGTTGAATCTTTTTATTGTTCATTGGATTCTGTCCATTCCGCTTTGCTGCTATTGGTGCTTCATGCGAAGAGCTTTATAAAAACGTATTCTGTGAAGTTGGATACTTATTCGGTTATATCTGTTCTCCCAACGACCAACAAGATGGACTGTCGCTTTCTTATCCATTTCCGTTGCAACTGCATGGTTCGGTCCTAGGCTTAGTGCGGACCTGTCGAACGAGGATCGAATTCTGCTTCGGTTTCTTCCTTTTCGTTGACTGCCGGCTGTAGTGACCAAAATCTGCATGCAACGCTTAACCTCTCGCTTCTCGAGATCGGTGGAACGCACGCACCAGTGTCTGCTTACCCCTATTTTGTCTGGCCAATCATCTCCTGTGGCTCATTCACACACGACCATAATTTAGACGCTGTGAAGAACAGCGCGCTCTCACACTTCGGACGCCGGCTCTCTAGCGGGTGGCCATGCACTCGTCTGACTGTCAATTTCATCAAACTTATTCTCCACTAACTCTATACAGA